GCAGGTAGGGCCCGGGGCGCCCCGGGGGTGCAGGGGGCACCCAGCACTGCAGAGCTTCGCTCTGCGCCCGGTTCCGTGCCTCAGGGTCCCCACTGCACAAGGGCAAGGGTGGCTCCTCCGCAGGCCTGGCTGCTCCTGCCCAGAGAAGGGTCCAGTGCTGAGCCTGGCTCTGCAGCCCCGGTGCCAGAGGCTCTGTTTGGGCAGGGACATGGGGTTTAGACCCTGTTTTCCTTTGCTGGCAGTGGCTGCTCCCATCCCTGCAGCTGATCCAACAGTGAGCAATCAAACCTTAGCTGCTCACGGCCACCTCCCCTGGGAAAGCACAAGCTCCTGATGGACCTGAGGGTTCCGGGGCTGTCCGAGCGGGGTGGTTCCAGGAGGGCTCAGGAAGTTTCCACCCTGAGGAAGAGCCTGGGGTCCCACCGGGATGCTCCCAATGGTCCCTGGGTTAAGGCCCCCCTGAGCCTTCTCTTCTCCAGACTGAACCCCCCAGGTCCCTCAGCCGTTCCCCATCACCCCTGTGCTCCAGGGCCTGCACCACCTCCGGTGCCCTTCTCTGGACACGAAGTTTGCACCAGCACAGCCCAGTGTTCACCAGTAACTGTGACCGGTCCCTGGAGCTCACCCGCTCTGCTCCCCCATCACAGTTTGGCTTCTAGAAGCTTCTGCCCGGGGGCTTCTGAAGGCCAGATGACATTACACTGAGTGACCGGTACCCAGTATGGGCACCCCACACTGCCCGCCCCACCTGGAGCCCTCCATGAGGAGCACACCGGATGGGATACAGCCCAGTGGGGCTCACCCGGGCTCTCACCTCACAGGTCTGGTTCCAGAACCGACGAGCCAAGTGGAGGCGGCAGGAGAAGATGGAGGCCAACTCCATGAAGCTCCACGACACCCCCATGCTCTCCTTCAACCGGCCCCCCATGACGCCCAACATGGGGCCCATGAGCAACTCCCTCCCACTGGACCCATGGCTGACGTCCCCCATCTCCAGTGCCACCACTGTCCACAGCATCCCCGGCTTCATGGGAGCCCCCCAGGCCCTGCAGCCCCCCTATGGGGGTCACTCCTTCCTCAGCACCCCACCGCCCATGGCGCAGGGCATGCAGCCCATGGCCCCCGCGCCCTACCAGTGCGGCACCACCTTTGTGGACAAGTACCCGCTGGAGGAGGTGGACCAGAGGAGCTCCAGCATCGCCTCGCTCCGCATGAAAGCCAAGGAGCACATTCAGACCATTGACAAGACCTGGCAGCCCATTTGATGAACGCTCCCCTCTGGCTCCTCATCCCCACCCCGGCACCGGCTCAGCCCCCGGGCAGGCGAGGGGGGTCATGGTGGGACCATTGGGATCAGCAGGACCAGCGCAGGACAGGGATGCTGGGCTGCATCTCCCCCACCGAGCCAGCACTGTTACTGCCAAGGGAGCAAGTGGGGTACTGGTGGGACCCTGCTGTTTGGGGGCACCCTGGCAGCCTTGCCAAGGCATTGACCCGGCCTGAGGCTCGGGGGTCCCGGTTGGACATCTCCTTGTCCCGCCCTTTCCCCTTCCTATTATTAATTTTTTTTAATGCTGCAGATTTGTACAAAACAGACCCAAAGCTCCAGGTTAGGGAGTACTTGGGGGGATTCTTTTTTAGCCGCATCGGGGGGGATGCTCGTTGTGCTGGTAGATGAGGAGGTGGCTGTATCCTGAGTAAAGAGAAGCTCAACGGCAGCCGCATGGGCTGTGCTGCTCATTAGTGTGCTGAGAGCTCCGGGGGTGCCTGCGGGAGCATCGCCCAGGACACCCCCTCCCCTCCCCTCAGATCGAGGCACCGGGGACTTGCTCTGGGCTCTGGCTGTGTTCTCAGCAGCTCATCAAGGGGCATCTGCTCACCCCCCTTGGTCCAGCTGCCCTCACTGCTCCCCTGGGGCACTCACCTGCCCACATGCTGGTACCACAAAGCCACCCCATGGCACTGGGTGGCAGCGGGACCCCTGCTTGGTGACAGGGCCAGGACCCCTGGGGACCTCATGACAGCGGTGGGGGGGTGAGGAGGTGTCCCGGGGGTTCCCAGCATGGCCCTGCAGCCCCGGGGGACCCGGCTGCTCGGTGACACCATCACAGAGGGGCCTGCAGAGGAGACCGTGCCCTTGAACAGAGATGGATGAACCTGCGGTGGCCTTGGGGTGCTGGAGCATGGCTGCCCGGTGGGATGGAGGCTCAGCCCTGGGCCAGCTGGAGCCCCAGGGAAGGGAGCGGGCACCAAAGGACCTTCCCCCCCCATCACGTTTCCCCAGTCCCTCAGACACAGCCCGGGGCGTTGCTGGGACCGGCTATGGGGATGCTGCCCCATCCCTGCCATGTCCCCACCACCCCAGGGGGGTCTCCCCCGCACCAGACCCCCTCCAGCGCGCCCAGGGTCAGGCAGGGATGCCACCGGGCCAGCCGAGGCGCTGACCCCAGCGAGACCCTGCTCCTTGTGTGCCCCCGTCCCCCGGCTGCTGCTGCCCGTCTGCTTCGTTAGTGACAATTAAACCTCCAACGAGCCATTAAACGCATAATCGATGCTCCCCCGGCTCCGCAGCGCAGCTAATGGGGCAGGGCCGGGGCACAGCAGCCGCGCTGCGGCGGGGACATAATGAACTAAGGGCAGTGGAAGTAATGGGGTTTGATCCGGGGGAAGGGACGCGCTCAATGGGGCTGCGAGTTTCACATGACATCAGTGCCGAGGCTGGCGCCAGCGCGGGGCTCCCCCCGGCTCCCCAGCGCCAACAAAAGCCGCGGGCGCGGGGGCTCCGCGCCCCCCCCCCCCCGGCCAAGGGGGCACGGATGGAGCTGAGGCTGCCCCTGCCCCGCTGCCACCCAGAAGCATCTCCCTGGCTCGGGATGCGAGGGGCGTGCGGGGGGGCAAGGGCAGCGCGGCACCCACCGGGGGCCCTCACTGAGGGGGGGTCACCTTCCCCCCCGGGCATTTAATGCAGGAACAGGCAAGAGGTGTGGTGCAAACCGGTGCCACTTCACTGCAGGACAGAGCCCAGAGCACCCGCCCTGCCCCTCTTTACTGGCGCTTTCCCCACTGGAGACACAGTTCGGGGAAAACCCAAGCAAAAAGGCATTGTTCACCCCCCTCCCAGACCCCAATCCCATCTGAAACCCCTGACTGCCCCCTCCTGCTCCAGAGCTTGTGCTGAGAGGACTGGGGCGTTCTCCCAGCCCCTCGTGGCAGAGCAGCAGCACTCCCACTCCCACTCCCACTCCCACCCTCTCTAATCCCCTCCCGCAGGATTTGCCCCTTAATCTGCTTATTTCTCTCTATTTCCTCCAGACCTGGATGAAGCCAACCCTGCCCCAGGGCTGAGCCGGGGGCTCCGGGCACTCTGCCCCCACGCACGTGGGGCTGGCGCTGCCCAGGGACATGGCTGCGGGTGCTGCAGGGTCTGCAGCCCTGACGCGCTCAGGCAGTGACCATCAGCTGCGGAGGGGAGGAGGCAGCAAACTGAGCACCCAGAGCTCCATAGGGCTCCTCACAGGTCCCCCAGCTGCAGGTCCTGGCACCCATGGGTGGAATGAGACAAGTGGACATGAGGAAGGCACAGGGTATTCCCTCAACCTATGGAGCCAGGCTGAGAGAGCTGGGCTGTTGCAGCCTGGAGAAGAGAAGGCTCCTGAAGGGGAGACCTGAGAGCAGCTCCAGTGCCTAAAGGGGCTGCAGGAAACCTGGAGAGAGGCTTGGGACAAAGGCCTGTAGGGCCAGGGCAAGGGGAATGGCTTGAACCTGCCCGAGGGGAGACTGAGCTGAGCTCTGAGGCAGAAGCTCTTCCCTGTGAGGGTGCTGAGGCGCTGGCACAGGGTGCCCAGAGAAGCTGTGGCTGCCCCATCCCTGGCAGTGCTCAAGGCCAGGTAGGACACAGGGGCTTGGAGCAAGCTGCTCCAGTGGAAGGGGTCCCTGCCCGTGGCAGGGGTTGGGGCTGGAGGAGCTTTAAGGTCCCTTCAACCCAACCCGTTCTGTGATACAACTCCTCCATGGGCACCATAACCCCAGAAGGTCCAGAGCTGGGGTGCAACATGGCAGCCGATGTCCTGCAGGAGCCACCCCATTTCTGAGGGGACGAGTGGTGCCCCACAGGTTCCAGCCTGGGGACCCTGTCTCGGGGCCCACCTGCACCAGGGCTGCTGCTCCTCTCCACCTGGGCACGCACCCACTGGGAGAAGGTGAAGCCATCCCCACAGCTCCCGTGGCAGATGAACCACTCGGAACGGCCCCGCGGCGCGGCCGTGTCCATCACCAGCTCCGGGGCCGCGGCTCCAGGCACCTGCAGGCCAGGAGGTGACCAGGACTGGGGCTCCCTCTGACCCATCCTGCACCATGGCCGGGGCAGGCGCTCACCTCCTGCCTCCCGCAGAGCCCCTGGTACGTGAGCCCCGGCAGCTCAGGGACACGCGCGTCCCCTCTGCGACCACCTGCGCCTCCGGCTGCTCCACTGGGAGAGGAGAGAGCAGCCTGGGCTGGCTGAGACCCCCCTGCACCAGCTTGTGCGGTCCTGTCCCATCCCATCCCGGCCCGCCATAGCCAAGTCTGGGTCAGAGACAACCCCAGGTGACACAGTGCTACCAGCAGAGCCAGTCCCCACTCCATGCTCCAGTGCAGGATCCTTCCAGCACAGGGCCCTTCTACCAGCAGGAAACCCAGCTTCTGCTGCACCAAATACACCAAAACCGCGTGGCTTGCGTTGCCTCAGCCCCTCACAGCCCCCAGCAGCAGGTGGGGCCTGCACTGAGCTCGCAGGTGGCCTGGACTGGCCGCTGCCTCACCACAGGCCCCAGTCTCACAGAGGTTTATTACTCATTTACAGCAAGAAGAGCAGCCCAGGAACAGACGCTGGGCTGGGGGCAGCCCCAGGCACCTACAGCTTCTTGCTCTTCTTCAGCCTGTTGTGCTGCCATGTGTTGTACTTCCGCAGGCGCCTCCAGTACTCGATGGAATTGGGATCCAGCTCCTCCAGCTTCTTGGGAGGCCCAAGATGGATCTTAAAGAGCCTGCGGGCAAACACTGAGGATGAAGCTAAAGGAGGGCAGGCAAATGGACAGGGGACAGAGCAATGGAAGCGTGTGAGTGGCACACGTGGATCCGCACCCTCCACAGGCACAGTGCCCCCGGCTCCAGCCCTCAGCAGGGCCTCGGGGCTCTGGAGCAGCAGCATTCCCTCCCAGAGCAGCGCTGTGTCCCTCACGCCCGTCTGTGCCTCTGGGGTGCACCTCCATAGGGACACAGCAAGGGGAGCGGGCAGCACCTACCAGTCCGGGTACTCAGAGTCGGGCTTCAGGGCCACCTCGGGGCCATCCTTGAAGTAATTGACCCCCATGGCGTAGGCGCTGAGCATGGCGGGGTCGGTGCACACCTCCGGCGGCTTCAGCCCCTCCTTCGGCACACTCTTGCCCTTCACCTTCGCAGCTGCGGGACAAGGGCACGGTCAGAGCGGGCAGTGGGGGAGCAGGAACTCAGTCTGGGCAAGGGACGGGGCGAGAGCCCGAGCCCGGCCCCGGCGGGGGCAGCAGCACCGGGGCGGGAAGGAGACCGGGGATGGGAGACGGAGACGGAGACGAGGGGAGAGGAGAGAGCTGGGGCCGGGCGCAGGTCACCGGGCAGGGGCCGGGGAGGCAGGGACGGGGCTGGCTCCGAGCAGGGGCAGGGGCCGGGGCTCACCCGGTTTCTTGGCGTAGCCACGAGCCGGGCCGGCGAACGCCGCCCGCGCCGCCCGCAGCAGCAACACCCGGGCCGCCATGTTGGGGCGCGCGCAGCCCGCCGGGAGGGGCGGAACCGTGATAAGTAGAGCCCGGGAAAGGGGCGGAGCCCAACGGGAGGGGTGGGGCAGCGCATGCGCAGCTGCGCCCGTCAGCGGGAGCGGGGGAAGGTGTCCGTCCGTGCCCCGGAGGAGGCGACTGCTGCTAGGGGGGATTGGAGCGGGTCGGGGTCCGGGTCCGTCCCGAGCCATGGACCCCGCCGGGCACCCCCGGGCGGCCGTGAGCCCCGGCAGCGCTGCGGTGCCGGAGCCGCCGGCCATGGACACGGAGGAGGAGCCCGCAGCACGGCCCAGCGGCCCGGAGCCGAGCGCGGGGAGCGGGCGGCCGGAGCTGCCGCCCTTCGCCTTCCCGGCCTCTGCCTGCGGCTCCGGGCAGGACCTGCCCAGCCCCGGGAACCAGCGGGGACCCGGCCCAGGCCCTCCCGCGGTCTCTGGCCCGGGGGGAGGTGGGAGCGGACGGGGCCCGGGAGGGGCCATGGGCGAGGAGAGAGCGAGCGCGGGGCTGCGGGGCCCTGGGAGCTGGGAACCGGGTGCTGGGAGCGCCCTCGCGGCCCCGGGGCACCCCCAGGGCCCGGGCAGCAGCGACCCTGCGGGCATGGAGCTGGACGAGGCTGCGGAGGACGAAGCCCCGGAGCTGCGGGCTCTGCTGGGGCAGCTCGAGAGCCTCGACCCCAGCCTCTGCGACCCCCCCTGCTCCCAGCAGGGCCCGGGCGCTGGCACCGCTCCTCCGGCGGGGAGCCGGGCCCGGCGGGGCCGCCGGCAGTGCCAGGGCCGGTGCCTGCCGTGCCCGCTGCACGTGGCCACGGGCCGGGGCCTGGACACCCGGCACTGCTGCGCCCAGCACCCGGCCTGCTCCCGGCCCTGCCACGGGCTGCTCTTCGCCGAGGCCGAGCGGGAGGATTTGCTGAGCCTCCTGTGCCACGAGGGGGGCGTGCCCGAGCCCGGCGCCGGGACCCCCTTGGCCTGCTCCAGTGTCCTGTGTGGGGCCAGCCTGGAGGTGCTGCGGGCTCGGGAGGCGGCCGCTGCGGGGAGCCGGGAGGAAGGACCCTGCGGCAGCGGGCGCTGTGCGGAGGAGCGGGGCGAGCTCGGCTCCAGCAGTGAGAGCCCGCGGGGCTGCTCCCCCGAGCCCGCCTGGGTGCCCCCGTCACCCGCCCCGCAGGAGGCGCAGGCGCCGCCGGGCGCTGTCACCGTGAGTGCCCCGGGGCTCTGGACCTGTGGGGCTCTGCGTGGGGGCGGAGGGGGCCAGGGGCGGCTTCTCCGGAGCCTCGGGACTGGCTTTGGCTGCCCGGGCACAGGGGGTGCCCGCGCGGCTGAGCCCCGGGATCCCGGCCGCAGCCTCATCTCTCTCCTGTTGCTTTGCAGAGCAGGGAACCTCCATCCTCCCGCCTGGCCTTCAAAGAGGGTGAGTCCTGAGCCACCACCTCCTGCTCCCACCCGGGCTAAAGGACATGGGAGGGAGCACCCAGCTCTGCGCCCACAGGGGTGGGAACACGGCTGCAGACCCCAGGGAGCTCCTTCAGTCTCTCACTGAGCACATGGGGGTGCTCCGGGGATCGGGGAGGAGGCAATGGGCGGGTTTCAGGCTTGGGAAGGGAGAAGGAAGGATCCCAGGAGGAAGCAGCCCTGGGGCAGAGTTGGTTCAACCGATGGTGCCAGGGGCTGTCTCCAGGGGCCGTGCATAGGAACACAGTTAACGGGCAGCAGGAGCTGGTACCTCTGGGGTGGGGGGGAGCAGCCCTTGCTTAGTTCCTTGCGATGCCTCAGTTCCAGGCCCCTGTGAGCCAGAGGATCTGCTGGACGGTGTGATTTTTGGAGCCAAGTACCTGGGCTCCACGCAGCTGATCTCGGAGCGGAACCCCCCGACCAGTGCCCGCATGGCACAGGCCCAGGAGGCAGTGGACAGGATCAAGGTGCAGGAGGGGAAGGGGCACAGCTGCCATCAGCTTGGTGCCCTGTGGGCTTGGGGCACCGCTGGGGACCTGCACAGGGACCTCCTGGCTGTGGGGCAGGGCCCCCCCGGCAGCAGTGGCAGCAGCAGCAGCAGCAGCAGTAGTGACCTGGGTGCTTCCTCCTGCAGGCCCCGGAGGGGGAGTCGCAGCCCATGACAGAGGTGGAGCTCTTTGTCTCCACGCAGAGGATCAAGGTGCTCACGGCTGACACTCAGGTGAGCAGGGAGCATCCACGTGGATGTGGGGCTCTCCATGGGGAGCTCACACAGATGGGAGATGTCCCTCAGGTCTCTGTGTGCTCACATGAGGCTTCTCATGCAAACTGCACCTCCTGGGAGCTTGAGGGCGAGCCCCTGAGGGAAGGAGCTGTTTGTCCCTTGAGGCATAGGCTGGTTTCTGCCCCTCACAGGAGGCCATGATGGATCACTCCCTGCAGACCATCTCCTACATCGCCGACATCGGCTCTCTCGTGGTGCTCATGGCGCGGCGGAAGCTGCCGCGGCAGGCGCCGGGTGCAGGGGAGAAGCGGCTCTACACCATGATCTGCCACGTCTTCCACTCGGCCGACGTGAGGAGGGAGAGGCACTGGGGGGGTTACACTGGGAGCCTGGGCCTCATCCTGCTCTAATGTGACCACGTGCTCTGGGTCTCCATGCTGGGGGCTTGCGGTGGGCACAGGGAGGGGGAAGGAGCCCACCTGAGCACCTCAGATGCTGAGGCGCTGGCACAGGGTGCCCAGAGAAGCTGTGGCTGCCCCATCCCTGGCAGTGCTCAAGGCCAGGTTGGACACAGGGGCTTGGAGCAAGCTGCTCCAGTGGAAGGGGTCCCTGCCCTGGCAGGGGTTGGGACTGGAGGAGCTTTAAGGTCCTTTCCAACCCAAACCAGGCTGGGATTCTGTGATCTGTGACATGGAAGAGTCCAGTGACAAAACTGGCATCAGGCAGGGAAGGACTGAGGATGCCTTGGACTTCTCAGTCACAGTGTTGGACATTGCAGGGTGCTGGCAGCTGCTGGCCAAGAGCTATGGGGACAAACAACTCCCCTCTCTTTCCCCAGGCCCAGGTCATTGCTCAGGCCATTGGGCAGGCGTTCGGAGTCGCCTACCAGCGCTTCCTGGAGGCCAACAGCATCGACCCGAGCGAGCTGAGCCCTCGCCAGTACAGCCATGCCCTGGAGGAGCAGGAGCAATACAATGCAGAGCTGAGCCACTTCTCCCAGCAGGAGAACTGCAAGGATGTAAGAGCTGCTTTGGAGGGGTGGAACAGTGTGGGGTACCCTGTGTCACCCCCTCCATGGCTCCCCAGGACACCCGTGCTGGCACATGCACCCTGTGACTGGTGACCATAATCCATGCGTGCCACCCTCTGCAGGTCTGCATCCGGAAGCAGAAGGGGGAGATCCTGGGCATTGCCATTGTGGAGTCGGGATGGGGCTCCATCCTGCCCACCGTGGTCATCGCCAACCTGATGCATGGGGGCCCTGCAGAGAGGTCGGGTGAGCTGAGCATCGGGGACCGCCTCATGTGCGTCAACGGGATGAGCCTGGTGGGGCTGCCCCTCGCCACGTGCCAGAGCATCATCCGGGTGAGCCTCCTCCAGCCCAGCAGGACCAGTGCTGGCAGAGATGAGCAGCAGCCCCACTGCTGCTGAATGCGCCCAGGAGTGTCTGTAACACCGGGGTGTCCCCCCCGATGCTCTGGCTTGGGGTGGGAGGGGAGAGGAGGCTGTGGGGCAGAGCAGGAAGGAGCCTGGGACCCATTCCCATCCTAGTTCCTGCTCTTGAGTGCTTGGGAGGAAGGGATGTGACAAGGCAGGGACAAAGCTGGCGACAAAACTTGCTGCATCAGGCTGTGGGTGCCCGAGGAGGGTGGGTGAGGAGGCAGGCTCCTGAGCTGGGTGGAACAGGCAGTCCAGAGGAGGCCATGGAGCTGCTGCGAGGGCTGGAGCAGCTCTGCTCTGGAGCCAGGCTGAGAGAGCTGGGCTGGGGCAGCCTGGAGAAGAGAAGGCTCCTGAAGGGGAGACCTGAGAGCAGCTCCAGTGCCTAAAGGGGCTGCAGGAAACCTGGAGAGGGGCTTGGGACAAGGGATGTAGGGACAGGGCAAGGGGAATGGCTTGAACCTGCCCGAGGGGAGACTGAGCTGAGCTCTGAGGCAGAAGCTCTTCCCTGTGAGGGTGCTGAGGCGCTGGCACAGGGTGCCCAGAGAAGCTGTGGCTGCCCCATCCCTGGCAGTGCTCAAGGCCAGGTTGGACACAGGGGCTTGGAGCAAGCTGCTCCAGTGGAAGGGGTCCCTGCCCTGCCCTCCTGGAGGAGCTTTAAGGTCCCTTCCAACCCAAACCAGTCTGGGATTCTGTGAACCCGTTACATCTTCTACCTCCGAGGCAGGAAGGAGCTGAGGGCAAGGACAGGGCGGCCTCAGGGCAGAGTGAGACATCTTGGACTGGATTTATAAGTTCTCCCTGAATCTGAGCATGGCAGCTCCCTGTGTGTGCCTCTGTTTCCCCACTGAACACAGGTTGCTGCTCCTTGGCACCATGGCTGCGTCACCCCTCAGCACAGCTGCCAGTGCCCAACAGAGCTATGTCCCATCTTCCAGGAGGTGAAGCACCAGACAGAGGTGACACTGAACATCGTGCACTGTCCCCCTGTCACCACGGCCATCATCCGGCGCCCTGACTCCAAGTACCAGTTGGGCTTCTGTGTTGAGAACGGCGTGGTGAGTTCTTGGGGCTCCAGTCACTCTTCTGCAGGAGCCATGCGGTTCTGGCTGTGTCCACACTGTTCCAGTGCTCCTCAGGCTTCCACAGGGAAAGAACCATTGCTTGTGCTACAGGAAAAGGCTTTTCGGAGCTCTCCTGCAGCACCAGGGGTTGGATCTGTCACCGTGGTGCTCCTTTGCTGTTTGCTTTCAGGGTGGTGCTTTCCTCCTGGCTCTCTTGGCATGGCCTTAGGGATGCTGTTGCTCTTGCCCATGTTCCAGCCGCTCCCTGCTCTGAGGCTGTGTTGGAAAAGCACAGAGGAGCATTCCCAGGGCCGGTGGGAGCTGATGGGGAAGTGGAGGGTGTGGAATGGCTGCGGCCTGCTAGCTGCTGCCCCAGGAAGCAGCTCCGACTGCAGCCCAGCTGAGAGCACAAGGGTTTGGTGGGCGCTGATGGGGGGAGCCAGGGGAGCAGAAGCCTGTGTGCTGCAGCTCAGCACGTGGCCCCAGTGGCAGGGATGCAGGGGGACATCCCTGCCCTTGTTGTGTGCTGAAGGAGAAGCACCCGAGTGCAGAGCTCTTACTGGGAGCCTGCCCAGATGCAGGGCTTTGGGAGCGGTTGTTCCTGGCTCTGGGCTGTGGGCACAGCTCTGATTCTCTTTCCCTGCCCAGATCTGCAGCCTGATGCGCGGGGGCATCGCAGAGAGAGGCGGCATCCGCGTGGGGCACCGCATCATCGAGATCAACGGACAGAGCGTGGTGGCCACACCACACGAGAAGATCATCCAGATCCTCACGCAGGCTGTCAGCGAGGTGACCTGGGCCAGGCTGCCCACGGAGCTGGCTTTCACCAGCACCCTCCAGCCTGGGCTGTGGCATCCCCAGCTGACGGGTGTGTTTCTGCCCAGGTCCACATCAAGACGATGCCGGCCTCCACGTACCGCCTGCTGACAGGGCAGGAGCAGCCCCTCTTCCTCTGAGCACCAGCCTGGCTGCTGCTGCACATGCCTGGGGCTGCACGGACAGGACAAGCTCTGCTTCCTGCCCCAGCACCCACAGCAGAGTCTGATCCTGCACCTCCTCAGCTGTACTCAGGACACAGTGGGAGGCTGTGGGGGCCTGGGCAGCGTCAGTGCTGCTGGTGCCACAGTTTGGGCACCTCCTCGCCCCCTCACAGTGCCTGTTCTGGCCCTCACAGGGTCCCTCACCTTGGCCTGGTGCTGGCAGGAGAAGGGACATCACATGAAAGGTGTCACCCATGTGCTCACCGCAGACAGTGCTTTTACACTCACCGATGGTGCCTTTCCCCACGTGGGGCTGGTGCTAGAAACGCAACTGCAGGGCTCCCCCACGTGTGGGTGCACGCTGGCACCCCAAGGGAGCCCCAGCAGCACCCCTGGCGTCCACTCCTTCCTGGCTTTGCCAAGAGCCTGGGGGTGCAGTGAGCTGGGAAACTACCTCTGCCTTTGCCTGGTGGTGCCTGCAGCCGCTCTGAGCTCATGGCTGGGTCTCGGCTCTCAGTGTGAAGAAAGGGAACACAAGGACAGCACTGCCCAGGCCCACACCCTGCTGGGAGCCCGGGACCATGAGCTCTGGGATCAGCCCTGGTGCTGTTTCCACCCCACGGCTGAGGTGGTGCTGACCTGGCTGTGCCCAGGTTGATGTTAAAATAAACGTTGTAGGGAAGATGGGAGGCTCAGCTCTAGTGCCAGATGTTGGAGGTCCCAGCAAGGCCACCCTGCCCCATGGATTTCCCCTGTGTGCTGCTACCCAGCACACACAGCAACAGCCCATCCTGGTTAAAACATCCCTTTTATTCCAGCAGTAGAGGCCAGAACAGGGAAGAAGGCACTTGGTACTGGGAACTGCAAGGTGCTGTGTGGCGCTGTGTGCAGGATACACAGGGGAGTGAGGGCTACACATCTGTAGCTGGACCCCACTCGTAGCCTTCATCCTCATCTGAGTCATCTCTGGCCTGTGTGAACCTCTTCCTCACAGCAGCATGCTCATATTCCCTGTGGGATGAGAAGCTGTGGTGATGCCTCTGCCACTGGTGGGGACAGGGCAGGCACAGCTGGCAGCTTGGGCTCTTCAGGCCCTTCCCCATCCCTGGGGCTGCTGCTTGAACCCCCCTCACAGGCTGGCATTGGTGTGCAGAGTACCTGATGCTGCTGTAGTGCTGCTGCTCCTCTGTGACCTGTGAAAGACCAGAGTGATGTACGGGTCAGAGGTAAGGGCAGGATTTGTGCCCTGGCCTGGGTCTGGGCTATGTCCCCCATGGAAAACCAGAGCTGGGCACGGGTGTGCAGCTGGAGCTTGCAGCAGCTCGATGTGACCAAGTGCCTGTGCCACAGCATAGGAGTGAGCCCTGGCAGTCCCAGCAGCTCCCTGCAGCAGTGTGGGGGCCCTCACCTCATCCCTCAGGCCATGGCTCCGGGAAGCCTGTGCTGGCTCAGAGGAGCGGGACAGCCCCTCCTGGCTGTAGGCATCCTCGGCCTCCCCGTCGGTGCAGGCATCCACCTCCCCATCCGTGTCCTCATAGTCACTGTTGGCCTGGCTGTCACAGGTCAGGTAGCCTGAGCCTGCTGCCCGTGGCGAGTTCAGCAGGTCCAGACTGTCCTCCACTGCCACATCCAACTGCAGGGGGGGATGACAGAAAGCTGGGACCCCACTGCAAGCAGGACATGGGTGTGTGCCCTGTCACTGCCTGCTGGAGCTCCAGCCTCGCCATGGGGATCATAGAACCACAGCCTGGTTTGGGTTGAACAGACATTAAAGTTCATCAGCTCCAACCCCTGCCACGGGCAGGGGCCCCTTCCACTGGAGCAGCTTGCTCCAAGCCTGGTCCAAGCCTGGCTTTGAATGCTGCCAGGGACGGGGCAGCCCCAGCTTCTCCTCGTACCTGTTCTGCTGCTGTCCAAACGGGCTGATTCTGCTGCGTCCTGACAACGTCCTTGATGGCCTCGTACCAGGCGCTGCTGCTGAGGCTGACGGTGGCAGTGAAGAGGTGGCTCCAGTGCTTCTTCATCTTGCTGGCCTGGGCATAGAGCCGCCGGGAGCTCTTCCTAGAGTCGGGAGCCAGCCACTGGCGCATGGCCTTGATGCCCTGACGGCTCTCGGGCTCACAGAACACCACCACCGGGTAGTACTGCACGTAGTTGAGACGCTCCACAGCTGAGGGTGTTATGTCCAGCAAGGCGTGCTTGCCCTGGGCAGGACACGGCCATCAGCCCCGCTGGGGACAGGGACAGTGACGGGGCCGTGCGCTCCCCCTGGGCCCACCCAGCTCTGAGGACACGGGGATGGTCTCTCACCTTTTCTGCAATCTGCTGCACTGAGTCCAACTTGATAACCTTGGCTGATGCCCCGTCACAGGGCAGGCTGGCTGCAGGACACAGCGATGTGGGGTGAGAGGGGCTGGGGGGGATGCGACATCTCCAGCAGCCCCAGGATGCGTCACAGACTCATAGAAACACAGACTGGTTTGTGTTGAAAGACCCTAAAGCCCATCCAGTTCCAACCCTTGCCACAGGCAGGGGCCCCTTCCACTGGAGCAGCTTGCTCCAAGCCCCTGTGTCCAACCTGGCCTTGAGCACTGCCAGGGATGGGGCAGCCACAGCTTCTCTGGGCACCCTGTGCCAGCGCCTCAGCACCCTCACAGGGAAGAGCTTCTGCCTCAGAGCTCAGCTCAGTCTCCCCTCGGGCAGGTTCAAGCCATTCCCCTTGGCCTGTCCCTACAGGCCCTTGTCCCAAGCCCCTCTCCAGGTTTCCTGCAGCCCCTTTAGGCACTGGAGCTGCTCTCAGGTCTCCCCTTCAGGAGCCTTCTCTTCTCCAGGCTGCCCCAGCCCAGCTCTCTCAGCCTGGCTCCATGGGATGTCCAGTGTCTACCTGGGATCATGATGCATCGGGAGAGTGAATGACTCCAGGAAAGTGTTGGGGTGTCATGGAGAAGGGGAATGAGGCAGGATTGGGACAGCAACAGGTCAAGAGCTCCCACATGCAGGTCCCCTGGCACAAGGGGCACTCACGGGCAATCTCAAACAGCTCAGGCAGCTCCGTGCTCAGCTTCTGCATGGCAATATCTGTGATGGGGCCCAGGATCACCACTGGCCGCTTGAAGCTGGCTGTGGGGAGAAGACAGCCCTGCTCATGGAGCTGGGGTGAAGGCAAAGCTCACAGCACCTCAGCATCCAGCCCTGCTCATGGAGCTGGGGTGAAGGCAAAGCTCACAGCACCCCAGCATCCAGCCCTGCTCACGGGCCTGGCACTCCCCATGGGGCAGCCCCAAGGTGAACACATTCCTGGTGCTCACCTTCCTTCAAGACCACCCTCTCGTAGGGCGGGTAGTGGCCCTGCTTCGTTAGGGCAGACAGGTCCTCCCGGCTCTTCCGCAGCAGCTTCCTGGCTCCCCGCAGGCCCCGCAGCTTCCAGAACTCGGCCCGTGCTGCGGAGAGGCTGGCACTGGACGTGGCTTTCAGCACGGGCTCCAGGCTGGCAATCTGCTCAGCCCTGCAAGAGGAAAGGGATCAGAACCAGGCTCCAAGGAGTGGGGCAGGAGAAGCCAGTGTCCTGCTCGGTGGCATGGCTGGATGAGACTGTGGTAGCCTCTTCCCTCCAGGATCTTGCACAGCCAGAGCATCACTGAAGGGATTTCACCAGCTCACGCTTCCCACCACATCCCAGCCTCACTGGGGAGCCATCCCCTGGCTCTGCTCATGTTGGCTCCTGGCTCCATCCCTACCTCCTCTGGTTGGGGATGATGCCCTTGTCCTGCTCCTGCAGGTCCCTGCCCATGCGCACTGCCAGCCAGCTCCCCAGCCGGCCCCGGTACAGTGTGTCCAGCACGTGGAACACGTCCCCACGAACGAAGCTGAGCCCTGATGGAGTGTCCTTCTCGAAGTCAAAGTGTGTCCGGATGTAGAACGAGTCACCCACGTTGGAAGAGATCACCTTCCTGTAAACTGGAGCCCAGGATGAGAGAGACCATCAGGGAAAGAGGTGGCTGAGGAGGAAGATGCTGGAGAAGAAAGTGCTGGAGAGGTTTGGGAAGGAGCTTGGCTGGAGCCTCTACCACACCCCTTGGTGCTAAGGAGCATGCTGGGGACAAGAGGACCAGACCCCCCAGCACATCCTGGCCTCTCCACGTTGAGCCATGGTGCCAGAAAGCTCCCGTGCTCCAGGATGATGGAGCACAAATGGGGCCAGGATGGCCTGGTCTGCTCTCATTAGCCCTCTGGAGGAGGAGCAGGAGGGGGGGGCAGGGAGGACAGACTACCCTGCAGGGGCAGAAAGGGCCATGGGAGCTCTGATGCTTGCTCAGAAGGGACAGAGGATGGGGAGGCAGAAGCCCAGGATAACTCCAGTCATCACTCACTGTCCTGCTTGTTCTGGGTCCACAGTGTGATGTCCTCACCCGGTGGCAGGCTCATGAGATACTCTACAGCTTCCTCACGGGTCAGGTTCTGGAAAGTGGTGTTGTTCACCTGCCATGGAAAAGCACTTAGACACAGCACTGCCGGCAGGAAGTAGGGCATGGGTACAGGGAGGGCAGTGAGCAGGCAGGTGGGACAGGAAACTCATCCCTATCACCAAAGAGTCTGCTACAACCCGCAGTAACACTGGGGAGAGTCTCTGGGCAGCTGAGGTAGTGCCTGGACCCCACTGGGTGTTACAGGGTGCTGTAGACTGGACTGTGGACAAGGGCCTGTAGGGCCAGGCCAAGGTGAATGGCTTGGACCTGCCCGAGCGGAGACTGAGCTGAGCTCTGAGGCAGAAGCTCTTCCCTGTGAGGGTGCTGAGGCGCTGGCACAGGGTGCCCAGAGAAGCTGTGGCTGCCCCATCCCTGGCAGTGCTCAAGGCCAGGTTGGACACAGGGGCTTGGAGCAAGCTGCTCCAGTGGAAGGGGTCCCTGCGTGTAGCAGGGGGTGAGACTGGGTGAGTTTTAAGGTCCCTTCCAATCCAACCCAGTCTGGGATTCTATAAGCCTCCCCTCAGGCAGTGCCCGCAGAGCCGGCCTGATGGCTGCGGGGCACCAGCACTGCCCTGAAGCAATGCCCAGCAGGAGAAACCCAAACCCTGTGGAAGGGCTGGGATGAGCCTACGTGCAGCAGCATTCGGAGCCATTTCCAGCCCTGGGTACCTGCAGGATCTGGTCCCCTTCCTGGACGCCCTGGCTGGCGGCGGGGCTGCCCTCCTGCACACCCGCCACAAAGATGCCCACGTCGTTCCCCCCGGCCAACTGCAGCCCAACGCTCTTGGCCTTCACGAAGTGCACAGCCCTGCAGCCAGCAGTGTTCCTGCCCCGGGGAGCCATGGTCAGCCTGGCAGGGCCATGTCACCCACCCTGTGAGCCCAGCCCTGCTCCGGAGCCGCTCCCCATCTCCCACCGCCTTACCCATCCTTGCGGGCAGCACGGGCCGAGGGGCTGGCTCCCAGCAGGCCTGCAGGGAAGGAGAAGGGTTGGGATAGGAGGTGAAGGGAGCTCAGGGCGCGGGACAAGGCACAGGGAGACCAGGCACAAGGGAGTCTGGAGCCCACTGGAGCCCTTCTTGTCCCTGGCCTGGTCTGAGCTCACTCACCAGGGCCCAGAGCATTGCCAACAGCCGTGTCAGCTGCAGGGTCCCTGTCCGATTGTCTGCCCTCCCTGGAAGCAGGATGGAGGCAGGTCAGTCCGTGCTGGGGGTCAGAGGCAGTGGCAGCAGAGATAGAGGAGCAAGTCGAGCACTGCCTGGCAGCCCCTCCAGCCAGGCAAAGAGCACAGGGAGGATGCCAGGGAAGAGGGGCTTGGGAGCAGGGAACGGAGCTTACGGGGGTGAATTCATAGTGGCAGCAGCTGGAGGTTGTGGGGACGTCTCAGGGAGCGGCAGATGGGACAGTTCAGAGTTAATGTCAGAGATATCTGCAGCAACAGGAGGGAAGATGCATTAGTGACCATCCAGTCCCTGTGCTGGGTATGTGACCCATGGCCCTGTCACCGTGTCCCCTCACCATCCATATGGGAGCTGTCACTCTCGCTATCTCCTATGTCAGGGATGTTGACCAGGAACTGCCGGTGGTCCCGGAGGATGAGCAGGGTCAGGGTCCCCTCCATCTGCTCAATGAGCTGCTGGGTCTCGGCCAGGGACATGTCCCCACTGGCCACCCCGTTGATCTGGCGGGGGCAGAGCAAGAGACCTCACTGGGAAAAGCTGCCCCCAGGGAAGCCCCACTCAAATGGGATGCTCCAAGTGCTACCTTTCCAGTCCCAACTGGGTTTTTGGGATTATATCCCTCACGTTTGCTCTGGAAGTCCCAGCAGCCACAGGTCTGCCTGGCCCATGTGTGCAAAGGAAGCGACTCCCTCCCTCTGTTTCCTCCTCTCCAAATACTCTGAGCATTGTTACACCTGATACACACTGAATATTTGAGCTCCTGGGGCCCAGGAGACCATGTGCCATGGGACACAGGGGTAGATGCATCCCTGCAGCGATGCTACCCAGGGATGAGCCCCCCCAAAGAGGGGAAGATGAGACCCCCAGCATATGCTGTGCACATCATGGCCCCCCCATACCTTCAGGATGAGGTCTCCCTCCTGCAAGGAGCTGCCCTTTGCCGCCAGCCCGTTCTCCACTATGTGCTTAATGAAGAGCTGACTTCCCAGCTTCAGGCCATACTCTGCACCAGAGAGAGCCCAGGACAGTGTAGAGCCCAGGCAGATGCAGGACCCCCTTGAGGTCCCACCTCATCACCATCCCCACAAGCCCACCCTGGCTCCTCTTGGGGCACCAGCAAGCCCCAGAGCTGAGCTCTGCAATCCCAGGCTGAGGCCAGATGGGTTTGGAGCATCCAGCACGGCACACGCTGCCAGACCCTGGCACCAACCCTGCCATCACCTCCACCCAGTGGGATGCATGGCCACAAACCGAGTGACATGACCCCGAGACAAAGTGGGCAGGAGGGGCCTCACCTTCATCCTGCTTCTGCTTCACCAGCAGTGACGTGATGGGCTTCATGGGCACATCCTGGCGCGGCAGCCGCTTGAAGCCTGACACCAGGGCCAGTCCCTTGGTGGGCTCTTCGTGGCCAAACCCATTGGCAAAGCGGCGCTGGCTGTAGCCCCTCCGACCCGAGCCGCTGCTTCGCCGCCGGGACACCGGCTTGTGGTGGCGATGCTCATCCTGGGGGTGGCCAGAGCTCCTCTCGCTGGATGAGTCTCCATCATAGCCCTGGCTGTGGTCCAGGTTGTCCTGGGAGCGGTGCAGGGCTGGACCTGCACTGGGTAACCCACAATCCTCATCCGAGTCGCAGCGCCGGGGCACACTGGAGGAGCCAGGGCTGCTCTTGCTCACAGGCAGGTGGATTTTCTTTGGTCTTTTCAGTGTCTGCAGGTGGAAAGGGAGAAAGAGAGGATGGTGGGTGCAGCCATCTCTGCCAGGAGATGGGGGGCAAGGGGAAATGGGTTTAAACTTAAACAGGGGAAGTTCAGGTGAGATATAAGGCAGAAGCTCTTCCTGTGAGGGTGCTGAGGTGCTGGCACCCAGAGAAGCTGTGGCTGCCCCATCCCTGGCAGTGCTCAAGGCCAGGTTGGACACAGGGGCTTGGAGCACATTGCTCTAGTGGAAAGTGTCCCTGCCTGTGCCAGCGGTTGGAGCTGGATGGGCTTAAGGTCCTTTCCAACCCAAATAATTCTATGGTTCTGTTTCTACAGCAATTCCAAGCCCCGAATGAGGGCCTTGGGCATGGGGGACAGGCCCGGTGTGGTCCCGTGCACAATGCCAGCCCCACCAGGGAACACTCACAATGTTGGCAATCTTGCCACAGGTTTTAAGCGTCTGGACAGCAAAGGAGGACAAGACGTTCTCCATGGAAAGGCCATTCACCATCACGATGTGATCCTTCCTCCTGGCAGGGGAAACACAACCATGGGTCACTGCCCTCCCTGTCCCGGCTGGCAGCAGGCATCTCCCATGTCCCCACATCCCCACACACTCACTGGAGCCGTCCCACCGCTGGTCCCTTGGGCACCACATCTGAAACAACCACCGCTGTGTCCCCAGTCACCCTGTTGGGACGGTCCCGGCCTCCAGAGACAGCAAAGCCAAAGCCCCGCTGAGGGTCCTAATGGAGACAAGGCAGAGGGGGGTCAGGCACAGACAGCCCCCACCTCCCATGGCTACCCCGGCTGTGCTCACCTTGCTCAGGGTCACTGTGTGCTGCTCCCAGATCACCATCTCCTCCATGGTGGCCACGCACCAGCGCAAGCAGAGGAGCGCTGCCGGGCAGCACAGCCAGCCCTGCCCAGGGGCCTGGAACCAGCGCCAGCTCCTCCTCAACCCCACTCGGAGCTGAAACAAAGAGCAGAAGCAAAGCTGAGCGTGAGGATGCCAGGGGCAGGCTCCATGGACACCCACCATGGCACCAGGACTTGCAGCCTGGCCAACCCCATGTGGGAGCAAGTCCTGAAACCCAGAGCTTCCAAATCACCCCCCCAGGGGGATTCGTCTCTGTCCCCTTGGACATGTGGCCATGAAGGGGAGCTTTTATGCAGGGCAGGTGGGTCATAGACTCACGGAATGGTTTGGGTTGGAAGGGACCATAAAGCTCCTCCAGCTCCAACCCCTGCCAGGGCAGGGACCCCTTCCACTGGAGCAGCTTGCTCCAAGCCCCTGTGTCCAACCTGGCCTTGAGCACTGCCAGGGATGGGGCAGCCACAGCTTCTCTGGGCACCCTGTGCCAGTGTTGACTCTCAGGAACCATCTCCATGCCTGGGACTTTGTGGTCCCGCTCCTCTCCACGGGGAGAGCCCGGGCACTGCTCTGGACAGCCACCCTGGCTCCCCACCGCGCCCCAGCCAGCCTCCACACCGGTGCCGTGTGAAGCTGGAAACCTTCACAGCTCCCTTGGGGCAGCTCCGGTGGGACCAGGGGCCATCAGAGATGCTGCCACCCTGTGGGCAATGCCTTCGGCAACGCCGAGCAGGGATCCCATGGGAAAACTGCAGAGGTTTTTGGCTCTCCATCCCCCGCCCCTCGCTGGAGCTGCACCACAGCACCAGGCTGCACCCCCAGAATGAGCTCCAGGTCCTAGGAGCCCCAGGAGGGACAGTGTAATCATTCACCCGAGGCTCAGCAATGGTCCCAGTGGCGAGGCTGTGAGCAGAGGGCAAAGTCCAGGCCTCCCCTCTGTGTCACGAGCCACCGAAACCAGCCCCAGTGCCTGCCTGGCACCTGGTGGTGTGTGACACGTGGGGACACACATGCCCAGAGCGTGGCTGGGGCTGAGCAGGACCCCAGTAAGACACAGGAGCCCCAACACGGTGGGGGGGTGGTTTCCTGCTGGATCAGTGACCTGAACTGCCAGCTCCTGGCTCAATCACATCACCAGTGCTGGCTGGCTGGTGCTGATGGACTCTGGTGAGCCACAGGTCCCAGGGACCCGGTCACAGGGCACCCAGAGCATCCCCAGGGTCACGGCTCAGCCACAGTGCCAGAGCCAACCCCATTGCCACCAACAGCCTCTCGCTGTCCCCACTGCTGCCCCGTCCCCAGGACACCATGAACCAGCCACACATCCCACTGCCACCCCTGGCTCTCCACAGGCAGCAGCAGTTTGGGGCAGGGGGAACAGCATGCGGATGGCAGCAGGTCCAGACTCACCAACCAGCACAGCCCACAGGGCCACCAGGCCCTGGACTTGTCCCCGGTGTCTCTTGGGGACCTGGAGTAGGACAAGCCCCAAGCCAAAGGCCAAGGCTGGCACCGGAGGAGCCGGCTTGGCCGGTTTGTGACAGAAACCAGCCCGCACCCGAAATGTCCCCGCCGGGAGAGGCAGTATCAGGGCAGAGCTGACCACAGCCCAGCCCAACACACCCAGCACTGGGAGCCCCACACGTACCATGGCGTCTCCCAGGGGGTTTGATCTTAAAATCACAGAATCCCAGCATGGTTTGGGTTGGAAGAGACCTAAAAGCTCCTCCAGTTCCAACCGCTGCCACAGGCAGGGACCCCTTCCACTGGAGCAGCTTGCTCCAAGCCCCTGTGTCTAACCTGGCCTTGAGCACTGCCAGGGATGGGGCAGCCACAGCTTCTCTGGGCACCCTGTGCCCGCTGACCCTTCCCCCTCACTGGGAAGATTTTCTTAATACCTCCCCTAAACCTCCTCTCTGGAAGTTCAAACACCAAACAAAGCCTGGGCTGTGCTGGGGCAGCTCGTCCCACTGCAAGCTCCCTGGTTCAGGGCTGTGCCCACCTCTGGCTGACACTGCTGGCAATGTGGGGATCCCCCCTCTCAACACGGGTCCTCCACCTGGAACCCGGAAGCCTGCCCCGGATCAGAAGGGTCCCTGCTCTCAGCCAAACACTCACCCCCTGGCAGGTCCCAGCTGCCCCCAGAAGCTGCTTTAACCCAACTCCAGCCATGTTGCAATGGGAGACCCTGCCCAAGGGTCTCCAGGAGCTCTGACGCCACCAGAGTCCATGCAGAGGATGGAGGCACCTCGGGGTGTGGAACTGTGGCAGCGGGGGCCCAGGATCTCCCACCCTGGCATATTCCCCTCTATTGGGGCAGGCCTCCAGGAAGGTCTTTGGGTCCTGGAGCCATTCAGAGAGGGACCCGGAGCACAGGGGACAGCTGAGCGCGGGGACAGGATCAGACACTCACCGAGCCTCGGGTCTGAGCAGGAAGGAGCCAAGCTCCGGGGCTGGTGGCAGTGGAGTCACTCCAGGGCGCTTTGCGTAACCCTTTGTGAGCCAGATGCTTCCTGCAAGCGGGAAGGAGGATGAGGGTCGCGGGGAGGTGTCCCCTGCGGTGCTGGTGGCTCAACCACCTTCCCCGGACCCCCAACACCTCCTCGGGAGCCCTGGGAGACAACGGGGCGGCGGTGGGGTGAGGAAGGGAAGATGACTGTGCCGGTGGGTGCTGTCCCCGCTGCCCCGCACCTGAGGACGCGGCCCGCGTCGCTCCTCTTCCTGCAGAGCCGCTTCCCCGCGGTGAAGGAGACGAGCTCCACGCCGCGGCTCTCGCTCCAGGCCGCCGCCGACAACCGGTGCCGGTACCGGGGCCGCAGTGAGAGGTGGCAGCCCCGAGGCGGGGTGTTGAGAGGGGACCAATCCCTCCGGAAGCCCCCGGCCATGAGCCGCCACCGTGGAACAGGAGCCATGGAGCCGCCGCTGCTCACTCAGACCGGCCCCGGTCAGAGCCCCGCAGTACGGGCTGCGCGACACACGTCTGTCCCCCAGGGCCGGGGCACAGTGGTGTGAGGTGACCGGCCCGGGAGAACCGGCGGGGCCAGCTCGGGCTACCCCGTACCCTCAGGGCTATCCGGTATACCCGGGGCTGCCCCATAACCCCGGGGCAGCCTCACACCCCGGGGCTATCTTGTACCCCGGGACCTCCAGGTGGAGCCACGGCCCCGGACGCGGCTGCTCTGGACGAACCCTTCCAGGAGGGCCCCGGTCCCCCGGGGGTACCGCGAGGGCAGCGGGGTCCCAGGTCAGGCCGGCCCCGGCCTCGCTGCCGTGGCAACCGGCAGGTCCCGCCCCCCCGCACATCTCTATGGTGCCTCCCTAGGCAAAGACCCCTTCTTTCCCCCCGCGCCTCGCAGCCGGGCCCAGTAGCGATCCCGCTCCCACAGCCCTCGGGCTATCGCGATAGACCCCCCTCCCGCGTCGCGATTAACCCCGGCGGAAAAGGCTCGCTCTACTTCCGGTGCCTCTTCCGCCCTGCAGCTCTGGGGCGTGTCTGTCCGCGGCACCTCCCGCGCTCTATGGTGCTGGCTGCTCCCAGCCTCCTCAGCGGCGGCGGCCGGGGCCGGGAGGAGCGCGGCGGAGGCGGCGGACGCGGGCCGGGGCCTGCCCCGGGCCTGCCGAGCGCCCGCCATGGAGCCCGATGTGTCCGAGGAGGAGGAGGGCTCGTCCGTGGAGGGCGCCGGAGCCCCCCCGGAGGCCGGCGCGGGGGGCCTGGACGCGGCAGGAGGTAACGCGCTGCGAGCACCGGGCGGCAGCACCGGCCCCGGCCGGTTCCCCCGCGTGCCGCCGTTCACCCGATCCCGGCGGACCCCCCGCGGCACGGCTTCCCCTCGGGCTCGGAGTGGTTCAGCCCAGCTGCACCCCCCGCGGGGGGCTGAGTGGTACCTCCCGGCAGTGCTCCGCGTTGTGCCTTGGATCCCATGGGGGGGGGCTCGGAGTGGTTCAGTCCAACCGCCCCCACCCGCAGTGTGCCACCCCCGGGGTACCGCGTGGTCCCGTCCAACTGCAGCAACCCCCGTCCCCCCCCGGGTCCTCAATGGTTTCGCCACCCCCCCCGGGAGGCTTCTGCTTTGCTTTGGGGGGATGCTGGGGCTCCAGGGCGGCCTGCCTTGCTTGGGGGGTGCTGGGGCTCCAGGGGGGTCTGCCTTGCTTGGGGGGCTGCTGCGGCTCCAGGGGGGCCTGCCTTGCTTGGGGGGGGGGGGGCTGCTGGGGCCCCTAGAAAACTATCTTCAAGAGGCAGGGAACAAGCCCCAGCCTGACAGCACCATTGACAGCATTAACAGAGGATTCTGGGTTCCCCTTTGGCAGGGTCGGACATGTGGGGCTGTCCAAGCAATCCTGCCTCTGCTGCCTTATAATTTATAGCTCATTAACAACCTCTTAATTGCTGGTTTTTGAGTTGTGTGGGGCTGCAGAGCCCTGCCCTGCTCTTGGGTTGATTTTGTGGGTCTGACAGGATGCCCCCAATCACCCGCCTGAGTCCCAAGTTCATTCTGAGCCTGCTACGTGGTGGACGGGTTTTGGCTGTGTTATGACAGCAGATTTCCTTGTTCTGAGGCTTTAAATGAGGCTCATTAGTGCTAAACCCCCAGCAATGCCAGTGGGAGCTGTGATTGTGTCATGGGTGTCACCCGCTGTCTGGAGGGCTGGAAGTGAGGGGTAATTTTGTGTGAGGCATGTGGAAAGCTGTCCCCAGCACTCCTGCTGCAGTCCTTTGCTGTGAAGGGAAAGAGCTGTGCTCAGCTTGCCTTTGGACCTCTTTGTTGGGAGCATTCTGTGGGCTTCCAGCCTGGGATGCGGGGAGAGCCTCTTGGCAATGCACAGTTACAATACTCTTCATCCTTCTGACTTCTCTGCCACCTTCCTGTGTTTTGGGGAGGGGACAGGGTTGTTGCTCACGCCAAGACCATTGGGTTTAAGGAGGAGTGTGTGTTTTCCTTCTCTTTACAAGTAACTCTGAATATATAAGGCTGGGCTGGCTTACCTGACGCTGATAGTAAAAAACACTTGAATCAGAGCCAGACATCTCACTGCTGCTTTGATTCCCTGAGTCAAGTTGCCTACTCCTCACTTGGGTCACGTCCAAACTGTGTCACTCGGCCTCAGTTTGCAAATGGAGCTCCTGGGAGGGCTGAGGACAGTGTGACAGCAGCTCGTGGGTATTGTATGGAGGGGCAGGGGCTGGCGCTCGATGGCTCTGCTGCTCTTGGGTCAGGACTGTGCCTGGTGAAGCTCATCACTCCTGACCCGTCTCTGCACGTCCTTCGTGCCGCTCCCCACAGGGATCGTGACATGGGTGAAGGATGGAGAGTCACCAGCACAGCCAGAATCTGATCCCTGGCTTTGTGCTGCTGAGCAAGGGTAGCTGGTGCTGGGCTTTGGCTAAATGGATCTGGTGGGGGTAAGCCAGAGCATGGGTCAGGTCAGTGAAGACCTGCCCCAAGTGCTCAGTAGGTATCAAGGGGAGCTGGTTAGTAAAACTGGATGGAGAGGGGCAGAAAGGCATGGGAAGGAAGCCTGACTTAGTTGACGTGAGGCATGGAGAGGCTTCTGAAGAGAGCTTTTGGAAGTCTTTGAGGGAGAAAACCTCCTTTCGCGCAGGAGCACACAGCCCCAGTTTGGCCCTTTCCGAGAACCCAGAGCTGAGGTTTGTAAGTTTTCTCACCACCATGCTGGAAAAGGGTGCTTCAGAATGTAATGGGTATAAATAGCTTCTGTGCTCCTCCCTGGATCCCCACCCTCACCCCCTGGGAAGGGACTGCAGGGGCCATTCACCCATTCTGGTGTGAATAGCAGAGCTGTTGGCACAAGTAGAGGTGGGTGTGCAGGCTCTGTGTGCCTGCAGGGTGGCAGGAACATGGGGATCCTTCAGGAATGGTTGGGTGGGGAGAGGGCACATCATCATCATCCCTCTACCCAGGAGACAGAGCACCTGGAAACCTCCTTTTCTCCAAAGGCACTCAAGTTATTGGAGAGCTGTTGGCACACATGGGTGGCAAAGCTGGTCTCCACCGCTTGCAAAGGTGGAAATCCTCAGCCTAATGGGGAAGGAAAATTGATGTCTGATTTACTTCCAATTCTCGCATTTCCTGTTCCATGTGTTGCAGCCTTCCCATCATTTATGGCTTGGAGTCTGGGCAGAAACCTCCAGCATGGTGTTCAGGGTTGAATTCTCTGCTTTAGGAAGCTGAAATGACAAGTTGTCTCACTGCACCCAGAGCTGGAGGTAGCAAAGTGGAGCTCTCTGTGTTGCTGGATGCTGACAGCATCCATAAGCCAATCTGTGCTGGGAGAGCACCCAGCTCTTCCCTCTTTGCCGTGATCACTTCTAGGTGACTTTGAAGGGCTGCTGGCAGCATTGTTTTGTCTCAATGAGAAAATTAGAAATAAGAGAAGAATTCCACCCCATGCAGCTCAATCCATACCGAGGTGATGGAGAGGGAAATGGGAGAGAACTTCTCAGCCTGAGGAAAAATCAAATGTAAACATCATCCCCAGCATGATGCTGGTTCACAGCTTTGCTGGCTGTCACATGCCTCCTGCCCATGAAATGGTGGTAGCAAAGATGATTTCAGAGGGAGTCAGCTCAGCAAAAACAGACGCAAAAACACCCTGTGCCCTGAACTTGTAAAGACCCTGCGGTTCCTTCACAGTCAATAAGTCACAGCTCAGCTGCAGGGAAGGAGGAAGGCAGCGAAAATAGAATTCAGGCTGCTCGGGCAAATTAATTGTCCTTTAAGATCTGAATCTGCAAATGGGAAAGCAAATGGGATTATGGGGCCTGGGGGCTCTGAATGGCAGCGTTTGGATGGCACAGAGATCCAGGCAGTGCCCTGAAGGATGCTGAGCCCATCTGTATCCGTGTCAGGCCAGGCTGGAGATCGAATCCCTGAGAACCCAGGACGAAGAATGATTAATCTCATTTTCATTAAGTAGCGTTTGGCATTGACCTGTCTATAACAGTCCGTTCCAGCAGCCCTGGATCTGCTGCTGGCAAAGCTGCCACTGTGTCCCACTTGGGAAGCTCGCTGGGCCTCTCCAGAAGGGCTCCTCAGGGAATGACCTGAGTGGATTTAGTATGAGCAGTGCATCATTTGGGAACGATTATTGAAGTGATTCACTGACATGACCATTATGGGCTCTTGCCAGATGCACAATCTTATTAAATCTGATTTTCCCATATAAGGTGGCTGCAGCCTGGAAGGCAGCAGCAGGAATTCCAGTGCTCGCTTCCTTCATGAACCCATCTCCCAGTTGCAGCCAGTCAAGTCCAGCAGTGGGTGTGCGAGCCCCTGACAAAGCCCTTCCCATTGCCTGCTGCTCGCATCTGTCACCTTTGATTACTCTTGTCCATCTCTGGATGTTGGAGGGGGAAACGCTCTGGAGCTCCCAGCACAAGGAAGGTTTGGCTGTGTTTAGGTGGTAGTGACCTTCGACAGGCTCCAGTGTGGGGACAGAGCTGCTGGAAAACAGGAACCAAAGCTGGTCCTGCCCTCCTGGGTGATCTGATCCCATGAATGCATCCTCCTTGCTCTCCCCAGAGCCTGTGGTGCTGGGGAAGCTGGCAGGAGCAGCATGGGGCATGCTCTATAGACTCTGCAAAGTTTAAAAGGGGTCTTTTAAAGCCTCACACCTCCTTTCCTCAAAGACACTTGTGCAGAGAGCGCATGTAGGGCTCCAAACAGCCCTACAGCAGCCCATGACAATAAGGTGACATTGGGGTTTTTCCTTCTATAGGTAGCTCTTAGAAAGACTCCATTCCTGAAAGCAGCCTGGTGCTTGTGTGAGTTTGCCAGTGTTGTCAGGAGCTGAGTTAACCTCAGGACTTCCTGGGAAAGGTTTTCTGTAATTAAAGAGCTAAAAGTGATGGAGCAGCTCCTGTGTCGCTCTGTCTCTGCTCACCCCCGCGCTGAAGCAGAAAACACTGTCAACCCCTAATTAAGCATCACCATCTTCCAGCGTGTGTTCTTGTGGCTTCCCCAGCTTCCATGTGGGTTTTCGCACTGGCTTGCGGTGAATAACCCGCCTGAGTCAGAGCATGTGCTGCGGCAGAAGGAGATGGGGAGGCTTCAACGTGTTCACTGTGAGCTGGTCACTGCCAACCACAACGTGTTCCGTTGGCTCACAGCACTGGGGAGAGGCTCTGTCTTTCACCAGGAGTTAGCCCATTTGCTTCTCTTCCCTCTTGTTTTGGATACAGCAAAAGCACTTCCCTAATTCTCCTTAAAAAATACAAGTGTGGACAACTGGAGTCAGGGTGTGATGGGGTCTCTTAATTTAACACAGAAACAGGCTGGAATAGTTGGTACTTGAAGAATAGCAGTGTGGAGATCGCGTATCCTGTGCTGTTGCATCTCTGATAAATGGGTATTAGAAACATAGAGTCCCAGACTGGTTTGTGTTGGGAGAGACCTTAAAGCTCATCCAGTTCCAGCTGCTGCCACAGGCAGGGACACCTTCCACTGGACCAGGTTGCTTCCACAGTCCTCATCTCCTCATTCTCCATCAGCAGAATCTGTGTGTTTGCAGAAACTGCTGTTGGAGAGGCTGGGAAGGGCTTCCTGGGAGAAGAGCTGAAAATGGGTTGGTGGATTCTGTGGCATCTCCACCACTGCAGACCTGCCTGTTGTGAGTGGTGGTTGGGAAGCCAGGACCCACATTGGGTAGCTCTCCTGGACTGTTCCTGCTGCTCAGGGCAGAGGAAACCAGGTCACAGCCCGAGGTTTG